TTCCTTTCCTTTCCTTCCTTCCTTCCTTCCTGCCTGCCTGCCTGCCTTCATCTCAACAATTTGAACTTATTTTTAACTTTCTAGGAACTGACCCTCCCCATAGTTTTGATAAAATTAGTCACATATTCAGTAAACTCACCTGCAAGTTTACCCAGGAGAATTGGTTTCATTTTAAGCATGGAAGAGCTTTCCAAACACGTGCTCTAGCTTCAATTCCTTCTAAACACCTTCTCAGTTCATTTTCCTGATAGGAACACCCAGGGCAAACTAAGAGTTAAAAAGACCCAGATTCTGTCAGTTAATTAGTCAATATTTAGGGTGTGACTAGAGTATTTCCCATTTCTCACTCTACTGTGCCTCTCTTCCCCCAAGTCAAAATTTACTTAGCCCAAGACATTTGAATCTCATTACCCCGGTTTCAGGAAGTTTAGTTTTAAAATATGACTTCAGTCAAGGAACTCAGCTCTAGGAAAGAATCAAGTACAAATTTGGGGACTTCTATAATGTTAATGCTGTTTAACAGCTGTTGATTATTTCACCAAACCAATTGACTTAATGAATTATCCAAAATGGCTTCTAAATACACTAGCTCTGATTCTGTGGGCAAGAAACCCCAGAGAGGAAATCAGCAGTGGAGTTCTGGGGGCCAGGTAGAAGGCTCTAGCAAGGACATTGATAAGAAGGTTGTCTATGAAGAGTAGATAGGATATGAACAGGTAGATACATGGATAGGGGGCCCATGCTGGCAGAGGTGCAAAGGCCAGCCAAAGAACCATATTGTGGAGTAATGAGAGGCAGTTTGAAGGGCCAGGGAAACCAGGTTATGAAGGATTTAGGAATTCAGGCAAAGACATTTTTATTTGTTAAGTGAAACAAGGGAATTTTTCAACATGAGAGTAAAAAACCAACCAGCATCCTTGAGTTTCGTGTCTCTAATTGCACACCCTGTCTCCAGTCCAGCAGTATCGCATCATCACCAAGCTCCTTATCACATAGGGGTGGGGCTGGCAGCTGGTGAGACAGCTGGGCCACGAACATCAACAGACACTCAATGGCAAGACTTGCATTTTCTTGTTCTCGGTCCCTCACTGTGACCTCTGGAGCCTACGAGGCAAACTAGAATGTACTTTGGAGTCTACAGCAACACTTAGGAGAGAGTAGGATGCACTGACAGGAAGTATACAAGTTGGAGTGGTAAGGGAGTGCAAGAGTTAAGAGGTTACCTATTTTTTTTTAATCCAAAAGATGCTGATAATCCCCTCCTTTTCTCTTTAAGCTCTTTCCTGGCTGTCTATGTTTCTCAACATCTATCCCTTCATTTCTCTTTGGTCTTTTTAGTGTTCTATAGACTGAGAAAGACTGCTGTGTGTTTTACAGCAGTAATGAAACAAGCAGCTTAGTCACCCAAGCAAATGTAGCTTCTCTGCCCACCCTTTGTGGATTAGTGTCTGCAGGGAAGGGGTATGGAGAGTTACCTCCATTCCCTAGTGTTCAGGCTCTCAGACTAGAACTAAGAGCCTGGCTTTCATGTTCATTTCTACTGACTCACAGTTCCTTATTGTCAACTTTCTGTTACTACTTTGAAACCAAGAAAGATTTTTTAAATCATGTAAAATTCTTAACTATTGATAGTTACCTTGGAAGAGCTAAGAACAAACACATAGGTTGCTTGTTTTGTTTTTGGGGCATGGGGCATATTTTCCTAACTATAACAAAATCTTGACATCTCTTTTAAGATAAGGAGGACTCGATTTGGTAGAGGTGAGGTTTTACTGTGAGATGCCAGAAAACTCTCCTTGTTTATATGAATTTATGTGGCAACTCTACTGTTTGTAGATTGAGTAGATACTATATTCAGCTAGATGCCAGCAAAATCTGAGGTGTATTTTGTGCTGAAACTGATTATGTGCTGCTTTCTTTTTTTGCCCGTTAACTAACTATTACAAAATATCATAGGATTTTGAATTTTTGTTTTGTTTTGTTCTAAGTTTCTGTCGTTGTCTTTCCTATCAATTGCTGTTTCCAATGTGATCCTTATTCTTTAGAATCTTATCGGAAAGGGTATAAGTGACATGACACATATGTAGTCATTTGGTTAAAAATAAATGTTATTCATACAGAATTCAATTGTGAGCAATTTGGTAAAAATTGCAATTTGTGAGGGATTTTCAGCCCTCAGTTTCCAGAATTAAAATTTTAGAACCTAGCTATAAAATTTCCCAGGTTCTTCAATTGGAAAAATTATGAAAAGATAATTGGCAGGGACTGATTCCATACAGCCTCCAAGCAACTGCACTGAAAAGGATTTTTACAAAACAGCAGATCCTTTCTTCCCTACAAGAAAGGATCAGTGTTCTTTTTACTTTAAGATTTTCCAATAGGATGAGTAACTGTATTTCCTTCTGCACTAGAATAGTACTTATCTATTTTCCCCCCGGTGTGTAAACAAGGTGGGATTTGAAAAGAGTTTACAGACAGATTTAAATCAGATTTTCAAATCCATACGACTCATTGGGCACCCATGTTGTTTACTTTGACCCTGGACTGGGGGACTTAAGTCTTTTTAATGTTGTACCCACATTTGCGTTTTAGTTGTCTCAGTGCACAAAATGAATACCTTTATTACATATGTGGTAAGTCCATATCACACTAAGTGTTTCATCTTGTGATTGTTTCCCATTTCTGTTCATCTGTTTTCCTATTATCACAAACTCCAGGGTTGACTGTAGACCTGTACTTTTCTATGGGATTCCATGGATGTTTTTTCATTATCTCCTAGGATAATAGCCTTTCAAGCTAACGTGGTACCTCCCCCCCTAAATTTTTAGTGTAGCCCATACATCCCAAGTACTAATAGCTTTAAGGATGTTTCAAAAATCTGGAGAAAGAGAGCCATGTTAATATTTATTAGATTTTTCAAAGATAACTGTCGTTTTCATAGTCCAAATACAAAATGATTATAGGAGTTTCAAATGAATTTCTTTCAGTGTTACTGTTTCATTCTTCTTCCCAGTAGTTTTTAACAAATCGTGCTAATCAGTAGTTTCAAAAGTAACAATTTTACATTAGCATCTTTCCCCTCCTCTACTGCTGTGTAAGCATTCAGTCTTATGCCTCAACCAAGATGACATTTTCTTCATCCCACAAATGACATTAGAAATAGGAAGCACTTTTTAAAAATATATTATTCTGTCTCAGAATAAATATATATAAACTCATGTACACAGTTACAATAATAGCACAAAAATTGAATATAGTAGTAAGTGTAGGAAAGTGTGGCCTTCAAGTATAGGAGGGTAGCTTTTAGATTTCAAAATTATTTAATCAGTCTGTTGCCCAGGTTTGGAAGAACAGTAAAACTTTAGATTCCAATTCATTAGCAACTCTACGCCCTTCTTAGAGTCAGAATAGTGACTTTGGTCTCAGTGTCTTAATTAGAAAGCACATAACAATAAAAACAATGATAACAATAGTATAGTGAGGTAATAGCCAACATGAACTTAGTACATAGAATGTTCCAATAATAGTTTTAGGCAATTTAGTCTCATATTCTTCAAAAAAAAAATCTTTTAAGTAGGAGCTGTAATTATCCCCATTTTATGGACAAGAAAACAAGCACAGAAGTGGTGACCAAAGGAACAAACGTTTTGTATATAAGGCCAATATATAATGTAAAGTAGGATGTCTTGTTAACAAACTGCTTTTTCTTTTATTTTTTTCCTCCAAAAAAGTGACTAAAGCATAGCCAGTGGGAAATTATCTTCTACTATTAGTTGCTAAAAGCTAAGTTTCGAACCTTTTTCCCCAATTAAAAGGAAACGGTGCTTGGTTTTCATTGCTGCTGTTCATGTCATCCACAGAGCCCTTGTCAGTTACTGTGAAGTGTGTACAGAAAGCTTGATTTTGAAATTATTGATCATTTCTTAAACATATTGCTTTTTTCCCAAAATGTGGCCATGAGCGATGATTTGTCTCTCAACAGCACATCGCCATTTTATCAAAACTTGATCCATAATAGTAGTAAATCAAGACTATTGTTTTGACGAATTTATTACTAAAATATTATATTTCTCAAAAAAATATTTTGTCTTTCCGTTATTATTTTATCCTCTGAGAAATATAAATTCCATTCAATAAGTGGACCATCTTATTTTCATTACTGGAACATATAAAATGAAACATGAAGCAGAAATCATCAATTGACAGTCTGTTACTTTGATCAGAAATTTAAATTTAATCTTCCTAGAGTACTAGTATTAACCAGGACAGTGTTGGCTTTCAAGATTTCAAAAAAAAAAAAAATGAGTATATACTCTAGGTATTAACACAATATGTGGAATCAGAATATATGGGATTTTTCTGAGGTTGGGGTTGGAGGAAATCAGGTGAAGAAGGAGAGGACGATGTCGATGGTTTGAAGTAAGGAGCAAATAGACTTTTATCTGTAGAGGTACAATTGGCATTTTTTCTCCATTATCACATAGGACAGAAGACAGACTCAACTTGAGTTTCTACCAATCACACCTTGAAAAAAAATTTCATCTAAGTAAATCATACACTCTGCATATCTAGATATTTATAAACATGACACTAACTCCAGCAATCCAACAAGAATGCATTCACATTGCTGTCTTTCAGGGCAGTTTACTAACATTTGTTGTGACATGTTTAGAACCAGTTGAAAATCTAGGTGTTGCATCATTGCTAAGGCTTGGTGAAATGTTTATGGACATGTTTTATTATTTGCTAATCTGTGCTGTGAACCATCAGTCTGTTTGCAGTGGGGAGGAAGTGGGTAAAGGGGTGGAGGGGGGAAGAGGGGCGGGTCATTTTGTTTGGTGTGCTGGTGGAGGGAGGAAGGAAGTTTGAACTAAGATGCATCTAAAGGGTTCCATTTTGACCCTTGCACAAAAATCAACCGCAGTAAATAAATGCTACTCGTAATCTGGTTTTCAGTGATCATACTCTTTTTTCCCCCTTGTCTTATATTTTTTTCTCAGGGGAAATCTCTCACGTCAAAGAGGTTAACAAGCCTTGTCCAGTCTTACTAAAAGGATCATCTGTAACATGGAAGCAGACTGGAGTCATTGCATATACTTTGTAGCTCTTTGTTGTTACCTGGAGCAGAGGACATTAGACCAAGATGTTGCATGAGCAAAGGACCCTAATTGTTCTCTCTTTGTGTACATTAAGGCATTGCTATTCCAAGGGACTCTACCATCACAATGCCTCCATTTCAAAATGTTGTCTGCTTACTTTCTCCTTGTACTAAGCTAGATCTGTGTCTTTTCCTTTTTAACAAGTTCAAGTGGAGTAAACCTTTTTTTTCTCTCTCTCTCTCTTAAAGCTTCTGCTAGACACACAGTTCACTGAAAATTCACTCACTCAAAAACTGGAAGAATTGTAAAAGAAAAAAACATATATCAATAAGTATACATATGGCTTCACATTTATTAAACAATAAATTAGCACAGAAAGTTTCATTTCACCAGTGTGTTCACAGTCAGAAACAAGCTCTGTCTTTGTTCTCTATACTTTCTCGGTTAATGTTTCTTGCATTTATTTTTATACCATATTTAAATAAGAAACACCTTTTACTCCAAATGTATTAAAGTTGATCCCTTCTCTGTAAATTTGTGTATGTTTATATTGTTGTTTTATCTTTCATTAAAAGATGCAGAATCTCATTGTTTTGTAATTTTGTCTTCCACACACTGATAAAGAAAATGCTGAGAAACGTCCACAAATGCAGACTTGCAGTTTAAGCTATCATCCTGCAAACGTTTAGGGCTTTAAGGCAAGCTTGGATGGTACAGGAGTCAGGAGCTGGCTGAAAGTGCTTCTCCTGGGGGCTAAGCCAGGACCAGGTAGATGCTTTTTCTCTTAGGCAGGAGCACACAAACCTGCTTTCCACATTTCCCATTTCCAGGCCTTTCTGCCTCCCTATGAATATTCATCTCTGTGTTTTGCTAATGGATAGTGCTATGGGAATTAGGTTTGAGTGTGACCTCCCAACCCGGAAACTGGTATTTTTCTTAAAGTATAATTCTAGGGGCGCCTGGGTGGCTTAGTCGATTAAGCGTCCGACTTTCGCTTAGGTCATGATCTCGCGGTTCGTGGGTTCGAGCCCCGAGTCGGGCTCTGTGCTGACTGCCAGCTCAGAGCCTGGAGCCTGTGTCAGTCTGTGACTCACTCTCTCTCTGACCCTCCCCTGCTCACGTTGTCTCTCTCTCTCTCTCCTAGAAATAAATAAAACATTAAAAAATTTTTAAAAAAAAGTATAATTCTAAAAATGCCTTAAATCAGTGGCTTTTAACTCTTTGGTGGTTACAAATTCTTCTGAGAACACAATAATTACTAATCTTTAGTGTGTGTTTAGTAAGTACTGGCCATGGTATTAAGGGCTTTACATACCCATAAAATTATCACATTTAATACTCACAGCAACCTATTTCTGCAATTTTGAGAATTTAAAGCAGAGAGAGGTTAAGTAACCTGTTCCAAGTCACACAGCTATGCAGTGAGTTGCTATATAAATTCAGGCAGTCCAACTCCAGAACCCACTATACTACACGGATTCACCATACCACCCAACTTTTTTTGGTAAAATTTATGAAAACCCACATATACTCTCACATAGGAAACATTTGCACTGAATTTTAGAGCATTCACAACACCTTCTGAAATTCATCCAAGGACCCCAAATAAGAAACCTGATTCCCTTTAAGAATTGGGTCAGGGATTGGGGCACCTGGGTGGCTCAGTTGCTTGAGCATCTGACTTTAGCTCAGGTCATGAACTCACAGTTCATGAGTTTGAGCCCCTCGTCAGACTCTGCTGACAGCTCGGAGCTTGGAGGCTGCTTTGGATTCTGTGTCTTTCTCTCTCTCTCTCTAATCCTCCCTTGCTCACTCTCTGTCTCTCTCTATATATATCTCAAAAATAAATAAGGGTGCCCTGGTGGCTCAGACAGTTAAGCATCTGACTTCATGATCTCACGGTTCGTGGTTTCAAGCCCAGCATCGGACTCTGTGCTGACAGCTAGCTCAGAGCCTGGAGCCTGCTTCGGATTCTGTGTGTCTCTCTCTCTCTTGCTCGCTGACCCTCCCCTGCTCATGCTGCTTCTCTCTCCCTCTCTCTCAGAAATAAAACATTTTTAAATATTTTAATAAATAAATAAATAATAAACATTAAAAATTTTTTGAAAAAGAATTGGATCAGAGACACAAAAGGTCACACAGTGGGGAAAATGGCCCTAACTTGTTTACCTTTGCATCCTTGTAAGCATTGCAGACTCTGGATATTTAAAAAAGAGAAACATAGTGTTGTAAGTAATGTAATTAATTACCATAGGTAAATTTAAATTCTGAAAAAATTACCAACATCAGTGAGAAATCTGTAGTAAGTCTGTGAGCTATTGTATAGAACGGTAATAAAATGGAAGCCACTTGATAGGAGAAATTTACTTATGAACAATGATCAGAACACCTTAACTACTTTAAGGTTTTTTAAAAAGATTTAATTATATGCCCTATGACTTTTTAAAAGAAATACATAAAGTGCATATAAATATAAATATATAGATGTTCTCTCTTAAAAATGTTTCATTCAGGATGGCTTTGGGCAGATGGTACTGAAGCTACATTGAAATGCTACGTCATAGAAACATTATTTGAAAGAAAGCAATACCTGTTAGAAGAATATGTTGAATAGACAATGACCCTTGCAGAAATAGGATAGGTTATTTTGGAGGCTATCTCACAAATTGTCATTCCTTGGATGCTCATCCTTTCTGAAAATTTTAAGTCACAAATTTACACAGAAATGGAAGAAGAATGAAAGAAACATTCAGGCAGGTACCATCAAGTCAGGAGATCCTAGTATGCCTGTGAGTCAGTTTCTGAGTTTAAGTACAGAAAATCTTTAAATAGACTAATGACTCCATTTAATATAGTGTAGACAAGGCTTGGGCTACAAAACAGTGTATTTCAGGAGAAGCATGTAGGAAAATGTCAGAGTTCTTGGAGTTCACTCAAGCACATGGCAGCTGCCTCACACTGACTCTTAGACAATTTGATCTATCAGGCATGGAAGAAAAACTCTTAAGTTTCTAATAAATACAATGGTTTTTAGGAAGTCTTTTCCTCCTTTAAAGCAATTTAAAGACTTATTCACCAAAGCAGTGGCCCAGAGTTTCCACACTCAATTGCAAATCTATTTAATTCATCCTCTAAACTGCATTGACCTGATTCTTCCCTTTGCAATGTCTACAGCAATGTTTTCTGTGGATCTTCCATAGGTTTTCTGCTTTAGTAAAAGTAAGAGAAATACGGTCAACAACTCTACCCCCATCAGGCACTAGTAAAATAAATGGAGGCAAAAACGCCCTCTCTTCATTATGACAAGTATGTGAGTGCATGTTGCTACTCAGGACTTTCATGCATCTGCCATTCTCCTTCTTGAGTGCTCATTTCTCTTTATAGATGTATGATGGTTTAAGAGTAATTTTGGTCTGTGAGGAAACCAAGTCTTGGCTACTAACACAAATTTAGTCCAGGTAAATGCACTGATTGTCTCCACACATATAATTATACACTTATTTACACTTAATTATACACTTGAAAGAGTGCGTTGAACTAGCCAATGACTTTACCATTGTCCATGACAATCCCTTTGCATATTCCAATCATCTCTAAAACATCAACAGGAGGTAAGCCATTTTAAGGAAATAGAGATAGTGAAGATCTTGATAAACATAAAAAATGGAGAGAGAACTAAAGTCGCATATCACATGCAAGTATCCCTTATACTTTGTTGTGTAAACCCATGTTTTTGTATCTTTTTATTCAGAATTCTATACTCCAAATTAGTCTTCAAAAAGATACTAAATGATGTATCAAACATAAGACATCATTATTCAAAAATCAGTTTAAGACAGAAACTGTTACATATGCCCTTGAATGCCTAGGGAAGTTTCCCTGGAGCTGAAATGTAATACATTTGCAACTTCAGCTTTACAAAGGTCATTAGTTACTGGGAAGATATGAGTACCCCTTGATTAATAAACTAATTAATAAATCTTGATGTCTCTATTTAGTTTTGACACCTTAGTCATTTCGACTTGATTGGAAATCAAATGAATTGGTGCTTGTTATCTTTTTAAAGGTTAGTAACATCAAATTCCAGTATTGGTTGAAAACATAAAGACAACATATCTAAATCATCAAGTGCAGAATTAGGTACATAATTGGAAGTCAAAAATAATATGTACTTTACTCTCTTCCCTTTCTTTTCCTCCAGAAGGTCATTTTTTCTAAAAAGATAAAATACATGTTCAAACACCACTCCTATCTCAAGTAAAATCACATGGGTTGAAGTGCAGAGGGCCAAAGCCAAGCAGTAAATCAGAATACCAGAGACCAGAGGAAAGACATGGAGAACAGTCAGGTGTGATGGTGTCTTGGTTACCAACCATATGGAGTCAGTAAAGCATCAGGACCAAAAGAGTGACCCAAAAAAATGAAACTTGGCTAAGTCAAGGAGACAGTATCCTGAACAAATAAAACTGGAAACTGCATCTCTGGAAAATGGGAACAGGGCTTGTTAGAAAGCGGTTGTGTCCTCAACTGTGTGTGGGAAAACTCTTCTAGGAATCTAGCCAGTGTGAGCTGGAGGTGCAGGGGAGAGCAGATAGTAGTAATAAGATACCAGGGGTAAAACCATCCATCTTTCTGAGTGAAGGATGACTTTTGGCCCCAAAGTACAATAGAGGAACTTCTCCTTCCCCATACTCTAGATTTCCAGAGGTCTCCTGGACCAAACAGAGAGGTGGATATTAAGTATCGGCAGAGCTGAGTGATATGTCATGAATAAAGACCCTGAAGTCTCTTGATTCCATGGCAGTGGTGTTTGCCAGGCTGGGTGATAGTCCCAGTCAAATAAGAACTGGTCACTTGGTGGGTGAGACTAAATGCACAGGCTGTGGAAAGAGACAGAATGTGGATCTGGAAGAATTGCTCATAGGCCACAGGATTTGAATTGACTCAGTGGGGTGAGTCAGTTCCACATACCAGTTCTTATTCTGGTTGTTTGCCCTGGCACTTTGGGGGCTGCAGATATATAATGGAACCAGCTCTACGATGGTACATACTGCAATATGCAGTGCTCCTTCTCCCTACCCTTTCCCTGATTTATTCTTGCCTTTGGCCTTCCCAAACTTCTTTGAGTGTTCAGACACAAAGGCCCCTTTTTCTACTTCTTTTTCATAGTAAGCCTTGACAGACCTAGCACAAAGTTGACTGGAAAGGCTTTCAGCTTCCTCTAGACTAAGACCTAATATTTAAGAAGGTAGATTGAATACATTCTAAAACCTCCACTCCAAATGGAAATCATTTTTAAATTTTCAAGATTAAAAAACACATAGCAATTTGTGAAAGTGAAAAGGAGAACAGTTTCTAACAAGAAAATAACCAAAGTGAATATTTGGTGTTGTCAGAGACTAAGAGCACTCGGCACTGGAGAGCTAGGCATGGATCCAAGCAGAAAGTACAGGGGCAGAGGCCAGAAACTCTCATACATTCATGACGACAGATTCAGCTAACACTACCTTCAGGGAGCTTCAAGTGTGGAATGCAACACTCTGCCATGAGCAGAGACTGGGATAGCGTT